GACTACATCTAAGGAAGACAATCAAAATGTGGTTAGTGGAGTCATCATTAAATATGAATGATGGAATTACGCTGATGAGCGTTGCGATTGCCAAAATGTATTTCTATTTAAGCTACCTGCTGCTGACGTCAATGTCAATTGCAAACCAGAACAAAATCTAAATAAAAAGCGGGGACAGTAACAAAAGCCAAGTTGCCATCATTTGGCAAATGCAGAGATAAACTTCAACAATGGCTTAGTGGCTCAAAATATATTTTTTTATGTGTGTCACACGGGCAACACGGAAGTGTGTGAGTGCGAGTGTGTGTGTGTGTGTGTGTGTGTGTGTGCGAGTGTGCACATATCCCGCAATCAGACAGCTATCATCATCTATTGTACACATGCGTGTGTGTGTGTGTGTGTGTGTGGGGGGATAATCAAAACAAAAACACTTGCTTTGCCGTTGTAGCAAAAACACAGTTTCATTTAAACAAAACAAAAGCCCACTTGAGCCTTTTGCTCACTTCACTCCAACAACAACATATGCAACAACAATAACAACACCTATTTAATGTGATAGTATGTGATGAGCTCCACTGTGCCACAGTAGACCTCCTAAAGTGTACTTCAAATAGTATACACAATACACCCAAAGGCCGCAGAAGGTGTGTGTGGGCTTATAAAAAAAGTAGGCATGCTGCTATTGAGTTGACATGACTAGAAGATACCCTGCAGCAGCATTTAAATATATTCCAATTGCCTTGCGTTTTGCTCACTCAAATTTTAGAAAAGTTGAAAAGCCAAATCGAGATTCATCAATTCCCAAATCAAGTCTTGAATTTGTTTTTATATTTCTTTATTTAAAATTTTAATTTTCACATTCACCATACCATGAGAAGCCGCTTCAAAAGATTTTAATAAATATATGACAGTTAAAATATTTATTTTTTGTCGTCTTCTGATAGTAATAAGATCAAAACGGAAAGTTATTTTTTGTTTTCATGCAAATTTGTTTAGGTGGTCAATAATATGTCGAAGTGCATAATATATACATTTGAAGTATCTGCCTTTAAAATTATTTCAATAAGAAATCGATATCTTTCGATACTCGCAAAACAGCGACATTTATCCATTTAATTAATAAACTTGATCTACTCGAGATATACGAGAACTTATATTACAAATGTAAAGTATGTAGCTCTTGAGGCTTCTGGGTTCGGCCATCGGATATGTCTTCTTTTGCACAAAACCATTATACCCTGTTGACCCATTTAATGTGCTTACAAAAAATGTCATCGAATATCATCACATATTTTATTTATTATTAGTGAATGCAATGCAAATAATTCAATGAAAATATTCGCAAAAAATATTAATTATAAGAGCAATTGTTGCCGATATTTTGTTTTTGCAGTTTCAATTACAATTTGTCCATCAAAGATTTTAATATTATTAGAGTGCAATCAATACACAAACATAAACAACAAAAATTCAAGTGAATATGTTGAAAAATGTGACTGGTATTTGTAATATTTATAAATAAATGCCCCCAGAAATCTTATGAGTCTTATAAATATTTCTTATATTTTTAATTTATTTGAATATTTATTTTTAAGATGAGATACATTCCACGAAGCACGTGATATATTCTGTAGCATATACTATAAATTTGACTTCCAAAAACAACTTAACGCATTTTTAATAAATATGTAAATGTGTCTCTGATTAAGGGGTATTTTGTAGTCGATTAGGTTTTTGGCTAGAGTCTATTCGGGATAGAGAATAGATTTAAACTTGATAGTATGGGATATATTCCGAGAATATTTGCTATTAGTTTGACTGCTAGCAAAGAAGTCTAGAGCATAAATAGAAATTAGTCCAAGACTAAGTGGTATGTGTTAGTCGATCAGTTGATGTTTTTGACTAGAGTCTATTAGCGATTGTATATAGAATTTATTTGGATATACGTTCAAAGTGTAATATTTTCCATTAATTACGAAAAAATAACTCCACGCTTTTTGAATAATATATGGAAATTAGTATAAGGCTAAGAGGTATTTGATAGTCAATCAGTTGTTGCTTTTAGCTCACGTCTATTAGGGAGGCCAGCTGTCTGCTGTATCAGTCGAAATTAGCTCGTTGAGGCGCACAGCAGTTGGCCAACTTAATAAGTCAAGGGCATCGTTAATAAATTTTATTTTATTTTTTACATTATGGTCCTGTCTGCTGATTAATGAGATGGTCTAATGAGAATGGGCCCAATTTGATGTGTTTTTGGCCTTTTCGCATTTCGCTAAAATTTCATATTTGAGTCAGTCAATTTAGGGCCTGTTTACGATGGGGCCGAAGGGGGGAGAGGGAGGGCGTGGCTGTCAGAGGCAATCAGGCTGCAGGCGAAATGCGAAATGCGTCGCAATATCAAAGAGCGTATTTACATGCAAAACAGGAATCGTGGCACAACTGAGGTTTGGGGCATGACTGCTGATGCTGCTGCTGCTGTTCCTGTTGCTGCTAAGTTGACTTGCCACAGACGGGAGTAAAAATAAAAAATAAAAAGAGCGAAGCGAAAAAAATTGAAAACCATTAGGATTAATGTTTAGTTGAAAGATTTGCGCGTTAAGCCATTTTTACATGGCCGCAATGCCGTCGAGGCACACAGATGTCCCTTCTCCAACACCCCCGACTCTCTCTCTCTCTGAATCCTGCTCCCTGCTCACTGCTCCCGATTTCCAGCTACACTCAGAAAAAATGTGGGAACAATTTAGAAAATTGGAATACTCTTAGAAGGCAAGGGTAACTCACATTGTTCTCAAAAAAAAAGTATATCTCTAAATTTGAAGATTGTGGCTTTCTTAAAACCGGTCTTGAATTTCAGATTGGATTTTTTTAATTTAAAAAAAATATAACTAATTTATAGGGTATTGCTTTCTATGAGTGTAATCAATTTAATCTGAAAACTCTACAATAGCAGTTGTAATTACCATTTTCTGAAATAAAGAATCCGAATTAACAGTTCTACTTTTTAGAACTGCGTTCCTTAAAAAATGATGATATTTCTTAAAATAGAAAATACCTTGTTTTTGGGATTGTTGATTTATGACAAACCTTTGCAATTTCAAGAACAATTTTTATTTATATATATAAAAAAATATGTAAAAAAAAACAAGAAAAACTTTCGAAATATCAGGGTGATTCCCTTTCGCTGAGTGTAGGATCACTGGGTGTCCTGCCGTCCTGGCTGGCTGACTGGCTGACTGGCAATTGCTAATGTAGTTTATGTGTAACAGGCGGAGGCTTCTTAACGTTAACTGACGGCCTACCGTTTTTGGCTTAGGGCGAGAGACGCACAAACGGCATGTAAAATGTGACATTTTAATGTATGCAAATGAGACGTTGAATTAAGCCCATACACACACACACATACACACGCGCACACACACATAGAGAGAGAGAGAGAGAGAGAGAGAGTGGCAGGCATACAAACATCACTTGGTTTCATATCCGTTTCCTGTTGCTGTCTCTTCTCTCCCCTGCTGATATGATTTAAAAATAATGAAAGCGAACACTGCTCAATGGCTTTAATGTGTGCAACATCCCCTCCTCACCACCTCACCCCCTCACCGATTCACATACCCCTGCCCCTTTCTTGTCTCTCCCCTAGCAACGAAGAGCATCGTGACTTGTATTTTCTCAGTGCTCTTTGGTTCACTTTGTTTGTGTGCGGAAATGTCAACTTAACTTTTTTGCGCTTTACCAGTGACAAAACAGCAGCAACAACAACAAATTTATGCTCGGAAAATGTCTGTTTTCCCAACCCACAACTCCTCCACCCCCTCACTTTATTTTTATCCATCTTCAGGCAATTTATTAATTTCTATGCAGCATGCGTATCGTAATTTGTTTTGTTGTTGTTTGCTTCTTTTTTTTTACTTTCTTAGCCAGCAAAATTACTTAAGTACCAGTTTTGCCCGCTTGGAATTATTTGAGCTTTGCTTTCAATTTGTTGATTGTTTTATATTGCTTTTTATTTTCAGTTTTTTCCTTTTCCTAGTTGTAGCACACAAAAGGATGTTCCAATGTGTGGGCGCATCCTCTTAACTTATTGCCACAATTATAATTGAGCTCATGCATCTTTATAATATCGGGGCTTCCATTAAAAGTTGTGGCTTTTGAATTCATTCATTGGATTCAAGGAGAGCATAAATGGATTCTTTCTGGAAAATCCTCTTAATTATCGCGAGCACTTTGATGTTCTATTGAGACGGAATTTATCGTAAGTGCATTGAATCTTTTGTTTTAATTTGTAAATACATTCTTTCATATTTGTCTATTGATTCTAGCTTTATTGAAAATAAGGTTATTCACAGGTAAATTATTAATTCAAATGCATTAAATATCGAATTTAATATGCGCATTTCTTTTTAAGTGTCGAAGGTGTAACTAAAAACTATTAAATGAAGTCAATTATAATATACAAGAATTAGTTATTTATGTTGTGATTTCACATCAAATATTTCGATTATCTGTACACTTATTCGTCTTAAGAGAGGTTGTAATTATTTGTTAAGCTTAAAAATTGATCTGTAACTGATAAATACTATTTGCTTGAATAGAATCGTATGGCATTTAATAGTAACTTCATCTTGGACCAGATAACAATTGGAATTAATTATGGATTTGTATGTAAAGTGAGCAATCTCTTCCACACACACATACACATACACACACACACACACACACACACACACACACACACACACACACACATACACACATTCCACACATAAATGTGTAAGCATTTTCATCTCAATTTGCGCAAATGTTTGCAAACTTTTGAAGCATTTAATCGTAATTTTTGGGTAGCTGTGGTTGAGGGTCTATAAGAAATGTCTGTGTGTGTGTGTGTGTGTGTGTATGTGCGTGTGTGGAGTATGTGTGTGTGGTGTGTGTAGAATTAATAGTTGGCCATTTGAAATAATTATAAAAATGAAAGTTTTGTGTGTTGTTTGGGGTTCACTCACCAATTAGCACTAATATCACATGTAGCAAATACCAAAGCTGCAGATGCGTTCTCTTAACTGTTTTCGCTGTTGTTGTTGTTGCTGTTGTCCTTTTGGCCAGGCTAGCAGCATTCTGGCCAGCCTGTTGCTGCTGCTGCTGTTGGTGGTGTATTTGTCGGTGGTGCGGCGCCAAATGTGCCTGACTACTGGGATCAATTCTGTGCCTCAAATTGTGCCTCAAAGTGTGCCTCAAAGTCTGTCCCGGAGTGTGCCTTGGGGTATGCGTGTGTGTGTAAGCTGGCTCCAATGCACACATTTTCAGGCAGCTACAAAAACACTTTCACTTTTCGGGGGTTGCTTCGTTGATTAGTGGGGGGTTCACTGTACTTTGTTCACTCGACGAATTCTGGGAATTATTTATACGTCCAGAGAGTTTTCAAACAAACAAACAAACAAACACACACAGTGTGTGTTAGGTGTGTGTGTGTGAGATGTGTGTGTGCAATGTGTTTATTAATTTCTGTGGGTGGCAAGAATTCACCTATATAATTAAGATATTGAGTTGACGGGCTATTTTTGTTGTTGGTTAAACTGCCAGACCAATTAATCACTAGGCAGAAAACAAAACTAAATAAAAAATAAAGCAGAAAACCGAGCTGGAAAAACAGTACAACAAAATATAGAAAAAGAGCTGAAAAAAGTATAAAAAATAGCTGGCAGAAAGTAGCACAAAAAGGCAGCGAAACTATTAAAATGGGACCAAGAGACAGACGGCTAAAAGCGAGCCAAGTTAAAGACATAAATTTTGCAGCATTTTGGCCAAAGATTAATTACAAACAGCAAAAGCACAGACTAAATGGGAGACGCAACAACAGCAGCAGCAGGAGCAGCAGTAGCAACAGCAGTGGCAGCAACTGGCTGCTGTGAATTGAGGCGCATGCAACATAAATTCAAAATCTAACCCGCCTCACTCCACTCCCCCCCTCAGCCCTTTCTCTAGGCATTTGATTTACGGCTAACGGGCAACGTTTACAACGAGGCAATTGAGCCTGTTGTCAATTGTTGTTGTTGTTGTTGCTGTCATTGTTGTTGTTGGTGTTGTTGTCTGCTATAATAATAATAGTAATAATAATAAGAATAATGCCACACGCGCCGCTGACCCACATGTGCCCCAATAGCCAAAGCTAAAGTGCCCATCAAACATGATTAGCGGCAGCGTCTGCTTTCCTCATTTCTCCTCTCTTCATACAAATAAATCTACAACGACCCTAAACAAATGTCATTAACTTTTTAACCATCTATACTTAGTATAAATATAAGTGTGCTTTTATTTTTAATACGTCGCGTTACAGTTTGAATTCAATAAACTAACCATAATTGGCATGAAGGGTACTAAAAGTGTACACCATTTTTAGAAAGGGTTTGACGAAATAAATAATAGATTGTTATTCTAAATAATCTAGATTAAATTTAAAGTGTGGATTTTCACATTTTATTTTAAAGTAAAAACCTTCAAATGTTTATGAAAATTTTTTTCAAAATAAAAATGTAGAGCTATATTTTAAATAATTATCAAAGTTACAAATTAAATGCATATTTAAAAATATATAATGAAAAAAGGAGAAAAAAAAAAGATAAAATAAAGTACAAAATATCTCTGGTGTGTTAAAATGAAAAATGGTTTACATTTAATGCCAGAATTGAGGAAACCCAGAAAAATCTCAAACAGACCAAAAACTGAAAAGCCTTAGTAACTTCGTAAGAAAAGTAAATGGTTAACAAGAAAGAGAGGGGGAGAGAGAGAGAGTGAGGTAGAACGCAAAGAAGAGATGCAGAGTAAAACAAACTTACAACAGTTAAAAAGAAAAACTAATTCAAAGCAAAACATGTTGGCTCAAAGTGCTTGGAGTAGAAAAATACTTTGGTTTAGCTGGGATATTTTGGTTGGTAGTAAAGTTTTTCACACAAGAACTCTTATTATAAATAATAATAAAAAAAATCAGGGGTAGAAAGTCTTCTTTGAATGCCGTTTGGCAGATTTTAATTAATTTTAAATTGCTTAATTGTTAAGTTCTAAGCCAAAAACGGAAACCTTTACTAATCGCTCTGATGCAACAAGCATTTGTTTTCTAAATTAAATATATTAAAGATAGTTTAAGGTGGGGCAACTGTTATTCTTTTATAAGTTAAAGAAAGTTGATCTTATCACAAATTGAATAAATAAATTAAGCTAAACTTTTTACTCCATTTGTGTCACATTAATTTTCATATCAACACAACATTTTTTTAAATAACTCTATTTGTTTGCCTAGCCAATTAAAATGAGTTCAAGTCAAAAAGAGTGAACAAATCGTGAAACATTTATTAAAATCGAACAATGGCATATTATTGTCAGGTCAGAATAGAAAAGAACAATAACAAAAAAAGTCGATTAACAAGAGTCAATGTAAGTTTTTATACAACACCAGCAACAACAATGAATGTTGAATGAAAACAAAACACGCATAAAAATAAATATTGTCAAATTTTTTACAAACTCTCTCAAAACAACAAAAAAGTTGCCAATGTTTAAGAATTGTTGCTGTCAATTTGTTGTTTGCCAAACAATGGACCAAAAACAAACAACAACGACAACAAGAGAAAAGAGATAATAAAGAGGAGCAGCAAAGAATAACAAACAACCACAAGAAGAGGCAGAAGCAGAAAGCTGGCAATAGACAAGTGCCGTTATTATAATAATAATAAAAAACGGCGCGTCATTGTTTTGAGTGAGTGCGCGCCCAAAAATATGCAGCAAAATATTTATGTGCACGAAACACAGCAGAGACTCAAACCACACAGCGCCTGTGAGTGGGTCGGAATAATGGGCAGGGCTAAGGAGAGACAGAGACAGAGGCAGAGACAGACTGCGCAGCGTGGACAATTGAAGGAAGGCAACTTAATTAGCTTAAATTAGAGCCATGGCATAAAAATAATTAAAAATTATAATGGGCATAATAAACCATAAAAAAAACCAAATGCAAAAAAAATAAGCTAATTGCAAAAAATAAATTAAGTTATTTTTATGTATTTATGTTGAATTTCCGCTCGCTTCACTTTAATGATAAACAAATCAATTATTTTTAAATTTCAGCAAGATAAACTCATTTATTTTAAACACTGTTTTGACTGTTGAAAGATTCCGTTTTAATTTAAGCTAAAAATAAACTAATTTATATGTATTTATAGTTTTAATTCAGTTCAAACAACAAATAAATTAATTTTAATTTTAATCGATATAAATTGATTTATTTTAAGTATTTAAACTTTTGAATTTTTGGTTCCATTATATTGAAAATAAACAGAAGCATTATATTTTAGTTGTAAGCTATTTACATTTATTTATTTTAAATATTTCGACTCTTGAAATGTTAAATCTTAATACAAATGAACCAATAAACGAATTGTAATTTCAAATAAAAATAATTATTTAATTTTTGCTAGTCCCATTTTAACATAAATAAATAAATAGTTTAATTTATTTTTAACATTCTTTAGACTCTTAAATGTTTCAAATTTATTTAACCGCCGCAAACAACAACAAAAACAACAACCAAACAAAATGTTTGTCACATTATTTTTTATTTTTATATTTATTTTGCACAATTTGTTCAAGCACTCGAAAGTTGCACTTTGTTTTTTATTTAACTTGAATTGTTCTATTTTCTTTTTAAACACTTATTTTGGCTCCCTTTTGTGGTGTTTCTTTTCTTGTTTTGTTTTCTTATTTTATTTTTTTTATGGCAAAACTAACACGAAATAACTTTTAGTCCTTGTCCATCGATGAGCATGTGTGTGTTAGTGTGTGTGTGTGTGTGTGTGTTAGTGTGTCTCACTTGTCGTTGGGTTTGGTTTGGTTTCGTTTTCAGTTTCGTTTTCGCTTTGGTTTCGTTTCGCTTTCGGGTTTTTTGTCTGTTTTCTGTTTGCTGTTTCAGCTTTTGAGAGACGCGCGCTCGATGAAAACGACGTGCGTTCGTCTTGGCGTGCAAATCATAACTAAAAAAAATTTCACATTTCTTGTGCAAGCTTCTGGCGCGCCATCCAGTGGCCAACGACGGAACTACGCCCACACGGTGCATGTGCAGCGCATGCGGGAGAGTGCAGCGAACAGCGACAGCTGGCGAGCGTGGGCTGAGCATGCAGTGCGCTCTCTGCCGGTCGGTTGCTGACGCTCTCTCGTGCGCGCTCTCTCTCTCTCTCTCAGCGACTGCATTATGCTCTCGCGCGCTGTGCCAGTGCTCCGCTGTTAGTTAACAGTGGCGCTGAAAGCTCTACGCTGCTTCTGTTAAAATATTGGGATTTTATTTGGCGCTTGATTTTTATTTCACCACTTGCATTTTATTATTATTATTTTCAATTCTTATTTATGTTTTGCATAAATTATTGTATTGTTTTGCTAAATTTTTATAAATCTGACTGATTCATCAATAGAGAATAAATTAAAAAGTTTCTTCAAATTGTAAATTGAATAATTAATTTTATTTTTTATGCTTGTAAAAATAAATTAATAATGCATCCTTTCATGGTTAAGTATATGCATTGAGGATTCCTCCTCGCCGTCACAAATCCTGCACAGTTCGCTGCTATAAATACCTAGTTTAGTTGGGTGAATTCTTAGTCTACAATGTCCTGTCCGTAGACCGGTGAGTATCCTTAGCCTGTTCTTCCCCATGGTTATTACTTGCTTAAATCGTTTACGATTATAGCCTCCCAAGAGGTATCTGGCTTGACGGAGTCCTGATGCCTCTGCCCAGCTCCGTTGTCGCCTCTGTTTTTCTTAGTTTCAAAGTTGCAAGACTTAAGATAATTTACAAAAAATCAAGAAAATGATGAAGTAATAATTACATATTTATTGTTTTAATAGTTAAAGAAATTACTTTAGTTAATTCTTTGATTTGCCTTGCTTTGTTTTACTCAAAAATTAACAAATTTAACGTATCCTTGGCTATTTTCGTTGACAGGGTAAATTTAAATATATTTTGTTCCAAGAATTATTTTTGGTTCGCAAATGAATTAATAGAAAATCAACATTGAAGTTTTCATTTAATTAAATTTCTTTGACTTGCTTTGCAGACTTTTTGTTAGTTTTTGAAAATAACTTTAAGAAATAACAAAGTGAGAGTTTTATTGTGCATTGGAAAAAGAAATAGATTTGGTTTAAGTGGAGTATTTATTTAATTTAATTTCTTTGATTTGCCTTGTTTACTTTGTGGCAGTTGTTAAGCCAAACACAGAGAGCCGCATTATTTGCCACTTAGCATTCAGCTGGTCCATTACCTAAACACACACATAGAAGAAGCCCCTTGCAACCAGCTGCCCCAATCCCCTCAGCACTCATCCTCTCAGCTCCCTTGCAGGACCTGCATTCATTGGGCTGCGACGAGAAATGGGAAACTATGCAAAAAGGATTCGCACAGCTGGTCTTTCTCTCGTCCAAGAAGAAGTCGAATCCTGCAGCAAGAATGAAGTTAAATGCCATTGACCCAAAAGTTGCTGTTGCTGCTACTCTTCCTCTTCCTGCTGCTCCTGCCAGGATGTGTTTGACATCCCTGGCAGCCTTGGTCAGCGTTGGTTTCTTC